AAGGGCCTGAGTTCAATCCCTGGTTGTGCAAAAAAAAAAAAAAAGTGCTCTTCACTTAAGCAGGCCAAGATCTGGGCTGCACTAGGCGGGAAAGCAAAAAGCAGTGTCTTTTTTTTTGCAGTACCAGGGATTGAACTCAGGACCCTGCCCTTGCCAGGCAGGTGCTTATTCTACTGAGTTATCTCCAGGTCTGTTGCTTTTGTCCCACCTAGCCCAGTGCTTCCCTGCCCCCATTAGGTTTATTATGAAGATGCTGCTCTGAAGGAGACACAGGGCAGCCAGCGTTCCTAGTGAGGGGTTACTCATAAAAATTCACCCAGATTAGGCATTCTAAGAAAGAGCAGTGAAAGGAAACAAACTGAAGATTTAAAAAGACAATAGCTAACTCTGATTTAAAAAGTAACCACTCTGTATTTTGCCAAGAGTGAATGAACTCTGTTCTTGAGTGGGTTTATTTTTACAACCTCCAAGTGCTAAATTTACCCTTGTTGGCTGGACTTGTTGCGGCCTCAGAGGGCAGGTGCAACCTATTCTCAAATGGCACTGGGTAGTGTGGGGCCTCCCTCAGCCATTGAGCTCGAGTGCCAGAAATAGCTTTTTAGGGGTCTGCGCCCAGAACCATGAGCGGAACCTGCGAACACAAGCGGTCTGCCCTCTCCCTGCGTTCCCACTTGTATCTGCGCAGAGCCAAGGCCTGAAACCAGGCCACACGTGGGCAGGAGCGAAGGCATAGGAGGCCACCTTTGGCACAATCCTTACCATGAGCTCAGCATAGTACTAGCTCTGTGACATCTGAATGCCAGAGGAGTGTGTGCGTGTATTTGAAGATGTCAATGTAGATTTTCCTCTAGTTCTAGCAATAAGCAATAAATTCAAAACTTTCAGTGCCCAGAATAATGAGAATGTTTAGGATATACACTGCAGCTTTCATCTAATTTGGATCCATACATATATATATATATATATATATATGCCTAAGGCATTTATCTTGCTCCTCAATTTTTTTATTTTTGAGACAGGGTCTTGCTCTGTAATTCAGGCTTGTTTTCTTTGTTAATGGGAATCAAACTCAGGACCTTGCGCTTGCCAGGCAAGCAGTTGTGCCACTGAGTTATATCCCAACCCATCAGGCTGATCTTAAACTATGTAGCCCAGGTAATCCTCAAGCTCACGGTAATCTGTGTGCCTCAGCCTTCCGAGTCCTGGGACTATAGGTTTGTGCCACTGCATCCAACTTTCTTTTATTTTTTTTCTTTTTTAACATGTATTTTGGTTGTTCCAGAGTCTTAGTACACAGCTCTGACACATCGTGATCCTCCTGTTTTCAGGTGGCCTGCCCATTAGCTCAATCATTTAAGTGACTGCTTCAACAAGGCAGTCAGGCTCAGGATGCTGCGATTGAAGCCCCATATCCTCAAGCCTTGCCAGACCTGCCCTGAAGGCATCCCCAGCCAGAAAAATAAATAAATAAATAAATAAATAAAAATTATCCTCCTGTTTTCAGCCTCCCCAGTGCTGGGATTACAGGCATGTGCCACTACACTTGGACTCTGTGGCCAGCTCAGCCTGCCCTGGGGGTGTGGCATGTGGTGCCGAGGATCAAATCCTGGTCCCTGCACTTGCCTAAACTTGCCTAAGTAGGCACTTTAGTCTACTGAGCTATCTCGCCAGCGCTATATCCAACTCTTTGTTGTTTTTGTTTGCTTGGTTTTTGTTTTTGTTTTGATAGCAGGAATTGAGCTCAGGAGCTTGTATTTGGTGCTTGTGCCACTAAGCTCTATCTCTGACCCTCTTTGCTGTTTTTTAAAAAATGTATAAAATCTAGTTTAAACAGTGGGGTATAGTATTTCTTCAATATCTTGGTGCTTCAGGTTTTTTTCTTTTTCTTTCTTTCTTTTTTTTTAATGAGAAAGCAATTTCCCTTTTGTACTTAACTACCCAAAGTTTTTATCCCCAACCTCTCACTCTAATGAAGGCAGCTGGACTCTGGCTTACAAAATGAAGTCCCCCAAGGTCTAGGGTAGGACACTGGCCCTGCTCTGTGATCCATAATCCTCAGCATTCTTGCTTTCTGGTCGTCAGTGTCCTCTCTTCTCTCAGGACACTTGTTGAGCACCTGTCCTGCAGCATAGTCTGGGTCAGCTACCTAGCACATAAAATTAGCACAACATGGTCTTATCCTTGGAGAGTCAGCAGTCGTTGGGGGGGCATAGCATACTTAAGGAACACTAATCCTGCATGATTAGTCCTGCGTTAGCAGGAAGAACAAAGTGCACTGGGGCTGGGGCTATCGGCCTAGCACCCCAACTACCAGGGAGACTGGGGCAGGAGGACTGGTAGTTGAAGGCCAATTGTGTGACACTCAGATTCAAAACAAAATTAAAATACGGCTGGGAGCTAGGTGCAGCAGTGCATGCCTATAATCCAGTAATCTGGGGAACCTAAGGCAAATGGACCAGAAGTTCAAGACCAGCCTGGTCAACCTAGTGACTCAATGAGATTCTTGTCTCAAAATAAAAAAGGAAACAGATCCACCTGGGGCATAGGGTTAGGAGTATGTGCTAGGTCAGCCAGGGTTTAGCAGCACTGTAGCCAAACAATGCAGATACTAAAGAAGTGTGTGTGTGTGTGTGTGTGTGTGTGTGCGCACGCGTGCACGCATGTGTGTGTGTGATTTAAGTGTGATAAAAAGTGAGGCTGCTGACTGAAGGCAGGGTCAGCACTTCCCAGTAACACCTGGGGTTGTAAACCAAGTAGGAGACACTGGCACCACCACAATCCAGACAGCAAAATACAAGGGCTGCTCACATGCAGCCCTGAGAGAGAGGCAGGAGTCACTTTTGTCTTGTGTGTCCACAGCCAGCAGAGGTAAGGGTGAGGGGATACCTGACTCAATACCAGACCAAGCTTTTGGTCTGGCTCAAAATGCTAAACTGGCTTGATCAGATTTCCCTCAAGGCAACATGCGAACCGGAAGGTGAGGATCCTGAAGGTGAGGATTAAAGCAGCCAGCTCTGAGCACTATAGGAGGAAACATGTGACACAGAAAGGGACCAATGACCGGTGGCATCAGGGAAGCTGGGAGAGCAAATGGGAGGACAGCACCCACAGTGACCACAGCAAGCACATCAGGAGGAATACTGTTGACAAGGAGAGACCAGTGGCAGAGAGAGGTAGAGATCCGCAGAGAGATAGACAAGTGCTACCTAAATTCCTAAGACTTCTAGATCTTGGCCACATGTATTTTATCAATAAACTCCCCTCACCCCACGCTGTGTGTGTGTGTGTGTGTGTGTGTGTGTGTGTGAGAGAGAGAGAGAGAGAGAGAGATACAGACAGACAGACAGACAGACAAAGATTGAACCCTGAAGTGCTCTGTTTATTTTGGGACAGGTCTTGCTAAGTTGCCCAGGCTGGCCTAGAATTTGTGATCCTCCTGCCTCACCTCCCAAGTAGCTAGGGTTACAGGAACAGACCACCCTGCCTGGCTTCGCTCTTGTTTTTTTTGCCTTTGAGTACTAGTAGTCTGAATGGGCCTCTGTCCTCTGTCTCTATTCATTTTTTCAATTTTTTTTTTTTTTTTT